CGAGTGCGCGCCTCGCGACGCGGTAGCGGGCGATCCCGGCCGGCCTCTGTTCGCGGGCGGGCGGGCGGACTGGGGCCGCTGCGGGATTGCAACGCGGCTTCCCCTCGCTGAGCATGGCCCGGCCCTTTCGAAGCCACCCGCCGCTGCATCTCACGGGATCCTGCCGTTTATCCGCGCTGCGTGATGTCGGAGTTCCTTTTCTCCGCTCAGATTCTCCCAGCAGTCGGCGGCATGGGATCAGGTCAGTGTTGCCTTCCCGTATCCAACATGGAATCCACCCAAGCTTGGACTACCAAGCTGCCCGCCAGAGTCTCAGGATGCCTTTGGATTTTGTCCTACAAACACACATCACTTTACATTTGCTTTCTTTAAACCGCAGTTGCCATTTTGATGAATTTTTTCGTTTTTGAAGAAAGCCTTTGGAGCTCTTCATAGTCCCCCTTTGTTTAACCAGCCTGAATAAATTGGAGACATCAGCAAACTTGGCCACCTCACTGCTTGCTTGCCATGCCAGATAATGTATGCATTAGTGGAAAAGTATTGGCTCCAATATAGATCACTGTAGAATGCCACCTTTTATAATTCTCCATTAAGATAATTTTTCATTTATTACTCCCCTATGCTTTCATGGATCACTGCCTTGTTGTGGCGAAGGGGCTTGCGTAGCCCAATGAAGCTATGAGCTGTGCAGTGCTGGGCCACCCAAGACGGACAGGTCGTAGCAGAGAGCTCTGACAAAACGTGCTCCACTGGAGAAGGAAATGGCAGCCCACTCCAGTACCCTTGCCATGAAAACCCCACGGACAGTGCCAAAAGGCAAAAAGGTATGACGCCGGAAGATGAGCCCCTCAGGTCAGAAGGTGTCCAATATGCTACTGGGGAAGAGCAGAGGGCTAGTACTAGCAGCACCAGAAAGAATGAAGCGCCTGGGTCAAAGCTGAAAGGTCACTCAGTTGCGGATGTATCTGGTGGTGAAAGGAGAGTCCGATGCTGCAAAGATCTATACTCCATAGGAACCTGGAATGTAAGATCCATGAATCAAGGCAAGCTGGATGTGGTCTAACAAGAGATGACAAGACTGAACATCGACATCTTAGGAATCAGTGAACTAAAATGGACAGGAATGGGTGAATTTAATTCAGATGACCATCAGGTATACTACTGCGGGAAAGAATCCCTCAGAAGAAATGGAGTAGCCTTCATAGTCAATAAAAGAGTAGGAAAAGCAGTACTGGGATACAATCTCCAAAATGACAGAATGATCTCAGTTCAAATCCAAGGCAAACCATTCAACATCACAGTAGTCCAAGTCTCTGCC